CCCCCGAGAGACCCCAAACCGGGACTTTGATCCCCTCCCTGGCCCCGGGTGGCCCCGGACCGAACTCACCCGGGGCGGCCTGGGCTCCCTGGGCTCGCTCTTGAGCTGTACGACAGCACTGGACCCCTCCCAGGAAGCTGCCAAGACGGCCCACGAGAGCCCAAAGACGCCGAAAGATCGCTCCAAGACGCCCAAGATGAGCTCCAAACGGCCCAAGAGACCGCCAAGACACCCCACGAAGCGTCCAAGAGGCCTCCCAAGAAGCACCCAAGAAACCAAAATCTTGCAATTCCCTTGGGAAAAAGTGCATTTTCAGCATATCCAACTTGTTTGCCTTCACGGCGCTGAAAACCATCCACGAGGCCCCCACGAGGCCCCCAGAACCACCCCAAGACGGCCCACGAGGCTCCCAGGAGGCCCCAAAGACAACCCAAAAGAACATCAACGTGGCCCAAGAGGCGCCCTAGACGGCCCAGGAGAGCTCCAAAACGGCCCCAAGAAGGGCCCAAGAGAGAGACCACGAACCGCGAATTCCAGCGCCCCGCCCAACGAAGCTCTCCGGAGGACCCAAGAGGCCCCCAAGCGGCCCCAAGAGGCCCCCATGAGGCACCCAAGAGGCCCAAGGAGCCCCCAAGAGGCCCAAAAGAAGCCCCAAAACGGCCCCCAAGACCCTTCGAAACTGCCTCGAAGAGGCCCGCGAGAATCCTCGCCACGAGATCCCAGCGGACCTCCCAGAGCGTGCCGCACACTGCCCTGACCTTGACGCACTCTTGCTACTCTTCCTCGCCCCGGCTTCGGAATTCTGCCCGAGAGGTGGCAGACAACAGACCCTGAACTCGAACCCCCCTTGGAGCCCGAACGCATTGGATTTTCGAGCCGCGTCTAGCCGCAGCGACGGGCACCCGCCGAAGACGAGGCCTCCTTCTCCGTTTTCTCCGTCATGTCCTTGTCTTTGTCCTTCTGTTCCTTTCTCCTTTTCCCTCCTCATCGGGCGGAAAAACACACACACACACAAAACACACAAAAAGCACGCAAATCGTGTGTGTGTGTGTGTGTTGTGTGTGTTTTTCCGTCATGTCCTTGTCTTGTTCCTTCTTTTCCTTTTCTCCTTTTCCCTCCTCCTCGAGCGCCGCGTCATGATTCGGACAAGCCTCGTGGAATGCAGTCCTGGAGGCGCAGTGGTTTATAGAGGGGTCGGCGGATGTGACGCAAGCCTACAGAACCGTCAACAGAATCATCACCGCCACCATAATCTTCCTAACGGCTATCACCACCATCGAGCTCATCGAAAGCATCACTGTCATCATTGTCGTCATCGTCATCATCATCATCATCATCATCATCATCACCATCATCATCATCAGCATTATCAACATCCTCCTCCTCTTCCTCCTCCTCCTCCTCATCATCATCAGCATCGTCATCTTCATCATCGTAATATTCATCATCACCAGCATCATCATCATCATCATCATCATCATCATCATCATCATCATCATCATCATCATCGCCACCACCATCATTAGCGGGTCAGCATCAACTACATCACTATCACTACCACCATCATCACCACCACCAGCATTGTCAGCATCGTCATCATCATCAGCATCGTCATCATCACCGCCACACACTCAGACACAATCAGCCTCCCCTCCTCCATCCCCCGCCCTCCCCTCTTTGCCCCGCCGCATTTCTGTCCCAGCCTTCCCCCCTCCACCTCGCCTCCGCATCCTTTTCTTATCTCCCTTGCACCTCCATGTTCACACCTGTCCACATCCTGAACCCTAGGACCACGACCCGCGCAACAGGGTGAGCTATACTCCGAGCCTGAAGCGCTGCTTATGGGCTCAACATCCGAACTTGTCCTGGGACCACGCTTCGTCATCGCGTCATCGCTGCTCCGGCTGGACGAGGGTCTCCTGTCGAGTGCCTGCCAAACTGTGTCTGCGGCTGCCCAGCAGCTGTGTTCTACTGCGGCTCTCCAAGCTGGTGCGCGCCAAAACCTTGGTGTCCTCCTTGCTCTGCTGCTTGAGAACCGTATCCCTAGCTCAGCGCATACGCCATCAGGGCTCAGCCAGACAGTCACCATTGCCAGGCCCATCCTGGACCAAGGATGGGCCTGGCGAGGATCGGCGTGGTGTCCAGTGTTGGTGCCCTCCGACTTTCCAGCTGTCAAGGGTGAGGAAGTTTGCCAAGACTGTTGAGCACGTAGAGGTTGATCGCCGGCTCCGCTGCCCCTTTGGTCGATGCCGCTGGGGGCCTCTCGGACGAGGGCCTCCACGATGCCTTGGGCCGCAGAGCTTGTCCGCAGCTCGCGCAAGAGCCCGGAGAAGCACTTGCCTATCTCTGGTCTGCGGGGGAGTCCGCGCGGAATTCTCGGGCCGGACCCCCATCCCTGGCGCGCGGAACTGGGCAGTGGCGGTCCCAGGGGGGTCTTTTGCAAAAAGGATTGCAAAAAAACCCTTCGGAGGATTGCAAAAAAACCCTTTTTCGAAGGATTGCAAAAAAAACCCTTCGTTTGATTGCAAAAAAACCCTCGAGGTTTTTTTGCAATCCTTCGTTTTTTTGCAATCCTTCGGGCAGGTCCAAGATCTGCGCGGACCCTCGGATTTGTGTCTCTGCTGCGACTCCTCTTGCGGATTTGTCCGGTCGACCCTGGCCCCCGTCCCCACACCACTTCCCCAGGGAGGCAGCGCGGCACGCCGTCGCGCGCGGACGCCCGCGCGAGCCGCCTCCCGGGCCGGCATTCAGCGACTCAGGGAGTCGTCGGCCATCGGTCGTCGGTCGTCGAGGTCGTCGTCGTCGTCGGTCGTCTCTGGTCGGTCGTCGGTCGTCCATCGTCGGTCGTCGTCGGTGTACGCCACCGCGGCCGTCGCCGCCGCCGTCGTGGTCGTCGCCGCCGTCGTGATCGTCGTCGTCGAGGCGGGCCCCGCGCGGTCGGAGACGGCGCCCCGCCTCCTGGTAGTCGGACGCCGAGGCCGCCTTGACCAGGTACCCCAGCACCTCGGGCGCCGTCGGGCCCGGGGCTCGGCTCCCCCCCGCACGGGGTGAGCGGAAACGCCAGGGGCGGTGGACTCTGGCTCAGGGGGGGGCAGCGGCGTGCAAGGTTCGAGGCTCGAGGATGTCCGACGTTTTCGAGGGTCGCCAGCGGCTTCCCAGCCCGGGGATTCCTTCCAGCAACTGCGCCTCGCCGAGAGCATTCCGGGGGTGCCCGGATCGTCCCGAGAGGCCGCCAGGGAGCCGAGCTCAGGGGATACATCGCCGATGGATCGGCGATAGGGCGCCTATAGCGAGTCCGCGCGCTCCTGGGCGGGAAAGGGCTGTCGGACGCCTGTCGGCGACGACTAGGCGAGTGGGGGCTCCGTGTCGCGCGCCGAGAAGGGGGGCGCGATTCCGATCTGTCCGCGCTTGTCCTCTCTTGCAGCTGCACAATCATGTCAAGCATCGCTTCACGCTTCACCCTTCACCCTGAAGCCTGAAGCGCGGGGATCCTTTGAGTAAACCCCGGAGCCCGAAGCGCAATGATCCTCGCGGAAATCGCGGGCGGAGGAGGGCGGGAGTCAGGAAGAAGAGGGGGGAGAGGAGGACAAGACGACGAGCGGGACCAGGACGAGAGGAGGAGAGTAAAGAGACCCAAAGAGGCCAGAGATCTCAAAGGCACCGGCGAGGAGACGGGGTTGCGACGAACACCCTGCAACCCTACAAAAGCATTACTCTCTGATGAGACTACGGCGAGGGAGAGAGCATCGGAAAAGGAAATCTTGAAGCACAAAGAACCCAGGGTCTGAAAGCAGGTGGAACACCAAAAAACCCGCCCTGATCAGCAAGGGAACCCTCCCGGGTCTGAGACATCCTGGGCACATCCCGGGTTTGAGATCATGGGATGGCGCCCTCTGTTTACTCTCGACCACTACCCAAAAGTTGGAAGAAGTAGGTGGAAACATGAAATAGGAAGGCGGATAAAGAAGATTGCATCCAGGGCCGCCAAACTGATAACAGCAAACACAGATCGACTCTTTTGAAGTCGGATAGCGCCTGATGCAGAGTGGGGTGTGGATACCCAAAACACATACTTCCGGCGACCGGCGTGCACTCGGGAGCGGCCAAGAGGGGGGTGTCCAAGAGGGGGGGGGTGCAAGTCATGACCGGCGTCATGTGCGCGGCCCAGCGGGGGGGGGCCAGGGACATAATGAAATAAGAAGAGGCGCCATGAAATCTGGGGAAAAATCATGGCCCCCGCCATGATATCCACCCCCCCTTAGTCATCACCCCCCTCGTTTCCGCCCCCGATGTACTCCTGACCCGAGGGAGCGGCAGCGGGGGGCCCGGGGCGGAGAGGGCGAGCGGCACGCAATTTCCGTGGAGGCGGGCCCCGCGCGAGGAGGGCCGCTCCGCCCCGCGCGCGGGCACGGGTGCCCCCAAGGGGGGCATGCCGCTCGCGCGCTCGGCTGCGGGCGGCGCGTCGGGCCCCTTTTGGGTCCTCTCCCGGGGGCAGCCCGCGCTCCACGAGGCAGGGATCTGCAGCTGCGGCAAGGCCGTCGTCGCCGTGGTCGTCTTCTGCCCGTGCTCTGTTGCCGCTTTCTGTGAGGCTGCGAGCCCGCCCCCGCGCTTCACGGCACGCCCATCTCCTTGGCATCGGCGCGCATCGGCCTGCACGCGAAGCAGCTCGTCTTCGGAGTTCGCTACGCGAGGGGCGCCTGTCGGAACATGCTTATACTACACTTCTCTATCCCTTGACCCTGTCCAGCAGATGTCCAGACCTTTACGTGCAGTGCGTTTACAGACAGGAGTGGTCAAAGGTGATATGTCTTATGCCTTTACTTTCGGTGCTTCAAGATGGTGCTCCAGCTTGAGCGTGGGACTAATTTTCGGATCGGCGTTTTGTTCGTCGTTCAGAACGGCGCTCTCCCCACAGCGCGGGACACATTCATGGACCCGAGTCCTTCCTCATCGTTGCCGCCACCTTCCCTTCCCCTCCTTCCCCTCATTCGCCTTCCCCTGGTCCTCCTGCTCCTCCTGCTCCTTCCAATCCAGTCCTCGCTGCTGCCATTCGTCCTCGTACTCCTCCTCCGCCTCCTCATCCTCCTCGTCCTCCTCCTCGTCCTCCTCTTCCTCCTCCTCCTCCTGCTCAGCTCCCCCATTGCCTATTGCGCATGTCTCGATGGTGTTTTGGGGGGAGTTCCACGTCCGTTATGACACGCGTCCACGGATACGAACAAATTAGCGCAATGGTAAGGGATGGGTGTGAAGGGTAGGATAATAGATATGGCGCGATTGCACCCAACTTGCCCTCCTCCCCCTCCCCCACCTCCCCTGATCCCCCGTCCTCCTCGTTCCTCGCTTCTCGATTCCCCTCCCCCTCCTCGCCCTCCTCCCCATCATCCTCCTACCTCCTCCTACCTCTTCCTCCTCCTCCTCCTCCTCCTCCTCCTCCTCCTCCTCCTCGCTCCTCCTTCCCCTGGCCTCCTTCATCCTTCCTCCTTCCTACTCCTCCTCCCTCCTCCTTTCTCCTTCCTCCTCCTCCTCTTTCCTCATCACTCCTCCTTCATCATCCCTCCTCACTTGTCCTCCTCTTTCCTCCACGACGACGACAACAACAACGAAACCGACGACGACAACGACGACGACGACGACGACGACGGCAGCGGGAGCGGCGGCGGCGGCGGCGGCGACGACCGACAGTGGCGACGACGACCGACGATCCCCCCAGTGGGAGCGCACGTTGTCGTCGAACGGCAGTTCCTGCCCCACGGCCCGCTCCAGGAGTTCTCGGCTCCTGGCACCGGGGCGAGGTCGGTACCGGCGGCGGGGGGGGAAGTGAGCATCGTTGAACCGACCCCTGTCCCCAACGGCGTAGCCTGGGCCCCATTGGCCGAGTTACTCCCTTTAGATGGGCGTATTGGCCCTTTTCCTTCGGATTTCGAGGGGGTGTATCCCCAACTGGGGTTCCAACATTCTTGGGGTGAGCGAAATAAGGCCAAATCGCGATGCGAGCCCAAAACGAGCCACGAGCGCCTGCGGGCAAACTTCTCGGCCTCGCTGTAGAGCCGTCCACCATCGCTCGTACTCGTTCCGCGTCGAGTAACATCGGGTGGGATTGGCACTCGGAACGAGGCCGAAACTCTTTCATGAGGACCGCGGGCTCTTACGAGCCTCCGCAGGTCCGCGCACATCAGCACCAGGCAGCAGCGACGCCAGACATGGGAAGTGCTTCGAAGATGACGGCAGTGGCAATGATGGCAAGCAGCGCAAAAAAATGATCGCCGTGGTACCGGAAACTACGATGACAGCTTCGGGCGCTTCCAGTGAGCACGGGAGAAGACAAAAAATGCTGCAACATCTGTCGGCTGTGGTTTGACCGGTTCATAGCTAAGGACTCGGCGGTACGGGTCCACCCACCCAGGACAATTTGTTTCGCGCGGGGAACGTGAGAGTCACAGCGACTGGCGGCGGCGGGCAATGAAGCTCCGCTCGATGCCGCCTCTGGCTGGGCCGCTGGGCATCGCCGCCTCCGCTGCCCCGCGCAGGGGGGGGAGGGGGTCAGACAGAATCCTCCTCCTCCTCCTCCTCCTCCTCCTCCTCCTCCTCCTCCTCCTCCGCCTCCTCCTCCTCCTCCTCCTCCTCCTCCTCGTCCTCCCCCTCCCCCTGCTATGCCCATGTTCCTCCTCCTCCTCTTCCTCCTCCTCCTCTGCCTCTCCTTCCTCCTCTTCCGAAACCTCCTGAAAAATTATAAGAGTAACACTTAAGCCAAATATGAAACCTGGACAAAGTTTTGCCCAACACTTCCCGCGGAACTGCGACACAACAACGCTACACATAACTACTGTACGATACGTTTGTGCGGGCGCATGGAAGCGATATGTTCGCACGCCCCGTCGACTGGTTGTGGCCGTAAAACACGGCGCAAAACTACAGCATCACATGTGACTATCACCAGATGACAACCGCAAATCTCAAATTGTAAGGTGAGGTGCATATAGCAAATCTACACCCATCATCAAAGGCGACAGAAGGCGACGATGGTTTGGGCGTCAACGTGCAAGGGGCCTTCTAACAGCTAGCGCGCGGCACACTGCTATTTAGCGTCGCAAAGCACCAAGCCCCAAAAATGTTGAACAGATTGTGTTGTCGTGGTTTTAATCACGTAAACGAAAACCTGGATCTCAAATGATATTGCGTTCAAGTCTCTGGTGGTAAAGTGGTACGAGACAACTAAACAAACATTAACCAAACTAACATTCCGTGGCAGGCAGCAGCCATAACGCTACTGAGCCGACTTGCACCATTTCCCTAATTCTCTACTTCTCTGAAAGATCACGCCACTACACTCTGAGTCAATTCCACCTCTTCTCACTTATGATCCCCACATCACTGTTCCTCCGCTTGTTACCTTACGTGTTTCCTTGCAACCGACCCAGTCGGTGCCAGTCTACGCGGCCAACGCATTTGCAGTAGGACGCCTTTGGTACAAAGATTGGCAAATTTCGCAAGGGCTCGTCGTGCCCCTCGGGTCGGGGCTGGCATACAGCGCGCAGGCCCCTTGACTGACAAATGTATATAACGATCCTGCGCCAGAAAGATTATCCTGGCGACAACCCCCTGGCATTTCTGAACTTCATGACTTGGAAGAGCTCCTCAGCTTCTTCTTCGTAAGCATATATTCCTGACCTGCTCCAGGCCTAACTCTCCAACAAATAGCTCAGCATGCCTTTGGTCCGCCCCATGTCATTGACCATCCTGGCGCCATCCACAAGACGGTTGGAAATCCCAATTAACTTCCAATCCTTCTGCCCCGAAGTCGCACTTGTAAGTATTGTTGACAACTCCTTGGAACCAAACAAGAACAATACAGCTCCCCGATATAATTCAAGTCATCTCCATGAACGGTTAGCCAGATTCGCCGTGTCATGCGTTCAAACGCACATGATGATGCGTTTCCGCTGTCTTAATCAACGTCACGTGCAGATGCCACGCAACAGCCCCCCCAGTTCCTGGCGGCGCCACGAGTGCCACAGACACGCCTGGCGCACGATGTCCCTCGGGCTACCCGATGAAGATGTTCTTCTCGGACTTGGCGTAAAAGCATGCCCACTTAACATCTGTCAATCCCAAATTGAATCCTCTCGGGCGCCCCCCTTCGGTCATGCCATATCTCCTCGGCAACTGCCACGGAGAAAAACTGCAATGGGGCATGCAATGGGAGGGGGCTGCAAATCCGTTCTTCTCGTCAGAATTGCACCTTAATTAACTAGCTGGGCCACGAGCCCGGATCGGCACTCAAGATTGGCCTCGTCGCCCAAGCTAATATCCACCCACCTCGCACCATGGGGGATTTGCTGGTGACAGACCAGCATTCCCCCCGACTATTTCCTCCGAGACCTCGCGCATCCCGAATTGGCCCATCTCCTCGTCTCGACTTCTGCACGCGAACTCTGGATCGAGCCCGCCCCCCATTACATCGCCCCGATCGCGTCATTGACCACTCGCGGTGGACCGCGTCGAACCCCCCCCCCCCAGGACGCTGACCGCACTTCAGCAGCGCCCCCAGCCCTGGCGCCGGCGCGCCCCGCGGATCCACCGGCGCATCTGGACGGCTCGCGCAATCCAAAAAATGAAACGAGCGGCAATATTGCGCGCCCCCCCTCTGCACCCTGCCCCCCGCCCCTTCCCAAATTGCACTGGCCCCCCTGCCCTCGAGCGCTCGCCCCGCGCCCAAGCCTGGGCCCCAAAGGAGCACCGGGGGGAAGAGCCGCGATCTCTCCTGGCCCGCGATCTCTTCTCATCTGATTCGCACCTGACCTCGCGAATGCCCGGCATTTCGCCCGGCTCGGCCCAATTATCTTTCGGGTCACGGGCTCTGAACGAGCACCCCAATCGGTCGTCGGCCGTTATCTGGTCAACCAGGCCCTCGGGGATAGCTCGACATAGTCGGCCCGGGCATGTCTCCGACCCGCTCGTTCGGCCCCCTCCAATTGACTCGGCGCGTCGACGCGGGCCCTGACATTTCCCGCTGAGGCCCCTTCCGATGTAGGGGCCGTCAATCATGGACTGAGCGGGCTTCCTTATTCGCGCCCACTCTCCTTCCACGACCAGCCCCAGGTCGCGACGTCACAGGTCGCCCTCATGCGCGCGCACATCTCCAGTCTCGAGCATCATCTCCACTGCCGCCGCAGACTAACTTCAGGCCCCCGCAGAGCGCTCAAATAGAAGTTTCGCCAGCCCCCCTGCGGGAACACCAGGCGCCGCGGTTTAGGCCCGTTGCCCCCTGCCCCAGTCCCAGTCTCCAATGCGACCGCCCTGCCTCCTGCTTCCCGAAGCGAATCGTCGCGCGCCGCGCGAGGGGGGGCGGGGGGGGGGGGGGGGGGGCGAGAAGGGCCCTGGCCGCCTCCGCCCGGGGGGGCCCCAGAATTCGAGGGGGGCCCTGGGGCGCGCAGCGACGCGTGAGATTCGCGCCCCCGAGACCACGATGCCCTGCAGATCGCGCCGCGCCTGCGCGGTCATGATCCCGCGCAAAGTAAACCACATTCGCGTCCCCGACGCCCGGGGCCCTTGCAAATTGCGCTGCGATCGCGCCCCCGAAACCGCAATCTCCTTGAACTGCGCAACACGCGCGCCCCCGACGCCACGATCCCGAATGAATCGCGCGCCCGCCGCGCCCCCGAAATCAAACGCCCCCGCGACGCGCGCGGCGCCCGCGCCTACCAAGCCACATTCCTTGGTCGCTGGCCCCCAAAACTTCAGGCGAGGCCTCCGAGACGGTCCAAGAGCGCCCCAAGGCGCCCAAGAAGGCCCCAAGGCGGCCCAAGAAGCCCCCAAGAGGCCCCGAGGAGCGCTCCAAGAGGACCCCCAAGAGGGGCCCAAGAGGCCAACACCTGCGATGTGCTTTAGGTCAGTTGATGGCCGGTGGCACGCGCATACCCCCAGCGGCCCCCGCAGGAAGTTCCGACGTCGCCTCGCGACGGCGCCGAGGCCTCGCAACACAGCCCTTGAATACCCATTATCCGAGAAAGGGGGCCGGCGGCCGGGGGCGAAGCCCTTGCGCATATAGCCAATTGTTTATCTGATACTTCCGCGGACCCAGCGCCAGTTTGAACCGTCCTACCGCGCTGCCAGACATGTTCCTTATCTTTTCAGGCCCAAGCCTTATCGGGCGGGAAGGCCTGCAACCAAATCAATGCGGCACACACTGGGTCTGCGATCAACAATAATGCGGCGGTGACCTTGGTGATTTTAATCGCATGTGCTTGCATCACCTCGCAAGTGAGATCATCGCGCGCGGTCAGATTCATGACTAAACCTGGTTCTGATCCCAGTGTTTCCGCCATGACGGCGACTCGGACTGGTAGGAAAACTTCAGCAAAACGTGGATGCACATGGTGACCCGGCGCTGGCCTTCGCCGCGGAATCTGACAGTTCCCCTGAATCCGTCGGCCTGGCCCATGCCATCCAAAGCAGCGCTAAGCAACAATTCCACTACATTTGAATCAAAACCCATGATTAAAACCGGAGAGCACCCCATGGGTGATCATATGATCATGTTATTCGTCTACCTGTCCAAATGCATATGCTTCCACGTTCTCGTCGTCGGGCCCCTCGCCTCCGCCGCCTCCTAGACTCCCTCGCGGCATCTCTTCGCCCCCTTCTTCCTGTCTAACTTCTGCGGTCCTCTCATCGTCTCCAAGGTCATCTGCCTCCCTTTCGAGCGCTGCTGACCTTGGCGGAGCAACGTTAGTTGGTCGTCCGTCGTCATCACCTCCAGAAAAGACGCGGAAATCAATCAAACCTGTCCACAATCCGCGTAACTCCTTGTCACCCTCATCTTTTCAAACGCCTGTTACATCCTCGAGGTCACCGGCTTCCAAGAGAATGCACTCGTTCGTCTCTCATTGCAAAATCGATCGGGGGCTCTAAGTGTCTCTAATCACATTCAAGATTGGCCCTGGCTTCGCGATGCTGTCGAATGGCCACTTCGTCTTCCCAAACTCACTCGTCTACGAACGGGCCCTTCCCATCGCTGTTCTGCGCGGGACTGCCGCGCTCCATTCTCGTCTAAACTGCCGCCAATATTTCTCGGACGTTCGGACAGTCTCGTCTTTCACGCCACTCGAAAAGACGTTCTCGACATCCCGCGCAAGGAGGCGCGTTGGCCGCGCCCCCTCTGGCCACAGCTCTGCGCCCATAACGGCCAGACGCAGGCCCCATGGCCATGCACTCCGAGAGCCACTGACGGCCAGGCACCTGCAGCTAAACCTCGACGACTGGGCACCGCCAGCGCAAGACCACGATGGCTCTGACCTCCATGCGAGATCGGGCCTGGTTGCGAGGGTAACCCTTCCACGTCGCTACCTTCATCTAGATTCCATTTCCCCCTACAACTCCGCGAGCGCCTGAGCTCGCCAGACTTGGCGACGCCCTCTGGAGTGCCCACGATTTACTCACGGCTGGCTTCCTGCGTTCCTACGAAAGCACCACTCCAACAGCTCGCATTCGTCGCCCCCATTTTAGGCGGAGTCTGCCGGCGCGCGACGCGCGCCCCCCAACTCGGACAACGGCGCGTCGAATTCCCCCCCCCGCCCTCGGCGACATTCGCGGGCCGCCCTGCCGTCGGCGCCCATCGCGATCACGTCGACGAAAGGAGACGCGCAGGCCACAGACCAACGTGCACGGGCACGACCACCACCAAACCCTGTTTTCCCAAATCAGCGATTGCGCTGAAGGGGCCCTAGCGGACGTCGACAGATTTGGCGAAAATTCCCAGCGAATTTCGGCGGGCGGCCGGGCCCCCGGTTCCCCGGATTCCCGCCGGCTGGTACCGGGCCCATTTCGGCGGGCGGCGGGGCCCCCAGGTTCCTGGGCCCCCAGGTTTCTAATCAATGTCCTGTGGTCTATCGGTCTCGCCATCTCATTGCCAGCATCTCCATCGATCCCACTATCGACCTCACAATGGAACTCACTATAGGACGAACGATCGACCTCACTATCGATCTCACTGAATCGATTTCACGATCGGTCTCATGACCGCGCCACTCAACTCGCCGCCCCATCCTGCCCCCCCCCCCCATCTCAAAACTCATGGCGATTAAATTTCAGATGAGCCCATGGGCCAACGCGGGCCCCAAAGAACAGGCACGCCACGCGAGCCCCCGGCCCGGGAATGCCCTCATCAATCGCCATTCGATTCCTCGATTTTCCTCGACCTCTCCTGAGCTGCAGCGCCTTTAGGGGCCCACGCGGATAACTGGGGGCTGCCGCTCTTCCCGTGCACCGTCGCCGTCTGCCCCGTTGCTCCATGTTCTGGGCGTTTGACTGCATGGCCGCCCATCGTTGTCTATCCAATACGACGCGGCCCCCTGCTTCCACCATCGCACGCGCAAGCCCGAATACCTCAACGCCGGCCACGTGGATGGGCCGGCCCCCTGCTTCCACCATCGCACGCGCAAACCCGAATACCTCAACGCCGGCCACGTGGATGGGCGCGCTCACCAAGAACACCTGGTCTC